TTTCACTGGAGGAAGAACTTGCCATCAGTGCTGTTAAATAGCTGCAGCTTATCTTCAGACTGGATTCCTCCTCTTGACTCCATGTCAACCACCACAGTGAAGCTTTCTTTACTCGTGGTGCTACACAGAAGTTTTAAGTTGAAAGATGCAGATTAGCACATCTAATAACTAAGCACCTACAATACACTTTTCTTTTATAATGTTGTAAGAGCAGTACTACAAGCTAACTCCGCAGCTTATTGTAATGCGAGAAAAATTCCACAGGCTGTGTAAAAAAAAAAATTCATTAATCTACTTCTCTTTGTGCCAAATTAATTTCAACAATAAAGCTAGGCAGCCCAGAAATAGCTTTAATAGGGCTCATACCCTATTCTATGCCTTCTGCCTGAGCTGACTCACAGTAGTAAAACACTGGATTTTGCTGTTGCCCAGCAAACATTTGCCTAACATGTATGTTGGCATTTCCCCATCATTTATTGCCTCTTGCTCAAAGTAAAAAGTTTTCCGAACATCTCTATTTTGGCCAACAGGTCTCAGGAAAAAAAAGCAGTGTTTGGTTTCCTGCTCTCCTTCTTCCTGAACACATGTGCAATTACCTCAAAAAGAGCTGAAAGAAGCATTTAATCTGTCCAATTATATCACTGTACAAAGGCATCACATGATGAAAATTCATATACTCAGGTGAACTTTGATTTAACTCTCTTACTGAAGTCTTAAAACTTCAGCATCTTTCATTCCCCTGTCTTCCATTAAGGTGCTCTCCTCTGAACTGCTGAAAAGAAAAAAAAAAAAAAAAAACAAACCAACCAAAAACTGCCCCAGACATCGAATTCTGTCATTATAACAAAAATACCTTGTTGACAGTTTTACTATATGGAAACTCTCAAGGTATGCAGATGCCCTTCTTACAGAAAGCAGTACTCCTCCAAAAACAAACATCTGGAAACAGAGGTATTTCCTTACGTAAGTGACTTCAAAGGCAACACGATCATACAGTAAAACAGGTTACATGCACTCACCACCTCTGGTTAATCAACTTTTGATGAGCTGAGAAAGGATACTGTACATGGCATGTCCCTTTGGGAAACACTCAGAATCCAAACCATTTGTCTTTTTAAATTTTGGTTTACAAACAATAACAGCATTGGAGTGTTCTCCCCACTGACAAAGGAACTTTTTTTAATTCTGCAGCAAGGAAGAAAATGCAGATGTTGGTGTAAAACATTCTAAATATGTCAAACCTCATCCTCTGAAGCACCTGTTCCTCTTTAGACATTTAGTGTACATTTCAGATACTTGTCAGGTTTTGTCCCAGGTGATTTCCAAGAAAACTCATCCTTCACTTTCACAAAATCCATACATTTTTGTTCCTGGCTCTTTGAACATGCTTTCACATTTCACTCTCACTGGAACATTTGATAAAATGAACATTAGAACAAGATTGCAGATCCAGCAGCAATAACAGGAGTATCTCATTAATTTATATCCTGAAATAATACTAGACTTATACTTTACACATTGCACCTAATTTAAGAATATCCATGCTTTCTATGTTCATTCACAAAACTTTACTACTTAATTCCACAAATGCAGTAAAATTTTTGTTCATGCTCTACTACACACATCTGCAAACTGCAGCAAGAGAAATCAGTTATTTAAAATGAAAAAATAAAGGCCAAACAAATTCAGAATTGATTCTTTTATCTTAAGTGACAGAGCACAAAGAATTTATTGGATCTTGAGGGAGAATTATTTCTGTAATTGGTAATATGTCCACGGGAACGTTTCAGGAAGTTCTGTATAATTCTGCATTGCAGTTCCCAAAATTAAATCTGAATTGCCATCTCCGAAAACTTACTCAGGTGAAAAGCTTTTCTACTTGTAAAAACACCCAAACCACCACAACTAAAACATACAAATAAATTTTGTAATGCCAAATTGCAGTCTCTTTTGGACAAACAAACTCTATCAGTGTCTTCCAAATTGGCCTCCCACAACTTGATCTTCAGTGAAGCAAAATGCAGTACTGGTAGAGCAGGATAAAGGAGACATCGATAGTATGAATAATCAGTTTGTATTAGAAGTAAAAGTTTCTGATTGCTTCAAAATGATTGCTGAGGCAGAGAAAAAGCACACCTTGCAGTGTTTCTGACATGTGGTACCCTGTGATGCTGGGACTCCTGCAGAAGTTAGAGCTGACTTGTTTACCAAAGGTTCACATCTAGATTCTTCACTTTAATAATCAGGTATTTTAATTTCTCCCTTCTCGTTCTGTAAGATACATCACAGTTAAAAGATTCCAAGTCACCACATATCCAAAGATACAGTGTTTGTAGCATGCACACATTCTTAACCCAAATTCTCCATGAGACACTGAGCTTGCAGTACACACAGGACTGTTTTCTTAAGACGTAGGTATTTGTAACAGGCTCCTGCATTCCACCATTCTTTTCATAGTTTTGCTGCCACACCTTCTGTCACCTTAGTCAAGTCTCACTTTCTGTCCCATGAATCCTTTATATTACTCCTCCAAAACAGGATTTTATGATCTTGAAGAAAGAACCTCTTTAGCTACTGAGTATTACTTTTAATGATCATTTTTTACAAGAAATTCAAAGAAATCTATAGAAAGTGTCTTTCACTAAAAACACTTGCCCATAGCCACATGGATCTGTTCTTGTTGCTGAGGTACAAATATAATTTCGGAGTGCTTGAATCCACTGGATTTTGAGGAGACCTATAAATTTTCACAACTTATTCAAATTCTTTCAAGGAGCTCCATTACCAGTGTTTCTAAAAAGAGAAGATCCACATGTGATAGTCACATCTGCTGAAGGCAACATCTCATAATTGTTCACATACTTGAATGACATGTCTTGCACTAATTTTCTTATCAACACAAAACCATGAGAGCAGATAACGAAGTCCAGTTTCTTAGAGGGTTGCCTCTGACCAATGCTTTTATGTATCTTCCTTGTGTGTTGATTCTTCAGGGTCCAGTTCAGCCTGCAGCACCTCCCTCAGTACAGGACTGACACCATCACTCTTCTCTGTGCAGATTTGTATTTTCAGGCACCCTTGATCAACTTGGTTCAAAAAGACTGCGAGGTTCAAAAGATACTGGGGAACAGATGACAAAGCCGGAACGTAAGCCTTGTTTCTTGGGAGAACAGGCTAAGAAGATAAAGTAGAAGTGAAAGACTTATTTCTTGTGATGACTGACTGTATAACCATTTTGGGTTTTAATCATCTCATTGGTTTTTATCAGTATTCCCATATCTGCCTATGTACTCTGCTTCCTGTACATCATCATAAGTACCTGTACAACAGGATTTTCATTTCCACTGTGAGCTAGTTATATCCCACACTTTCAACTTTTCATCACAACTTTTATTTTCATTGACATACAACAGTCTGGACTCACATTCTCAGTTTCTGGGGGAAAAGACACCCCAACAACTGAATTCACCTTGAATACATCATTGCTACTCCAAGTCCACTATAATAACGAGAGGAAGAATGTTCCTGTGATGCAGCCAAGCAATTTCAGCACTGGTAGAGCTGCATCTGCAATGGTGCTGTGTTAGGCTGCTGATTTAGCTTCTTAGCATACTGCCTGAAGCTCAGCAGTGACCGCGTAAAGCTGACAGAAAAGCAGCAGATGGTTTAGCCTGGGAAGGTGAGAAACTAAAATACTGACTATACATCCCTCCACTACACAGATATACAAACATTTACATGTGGAAAGGCATAATTAAGGTTTTGTGCTTTAAAATAATTCTTTGCTCCACAGTTTACTAGATAGAAATCTCAGAAGAATGTTCAGCATATAAACAGAACCACAGTTATAGACACATAAAGCTGTCAAATGCAAGTACCTGAACAACTAAAACAGCAACAAACATTAAAATCCCCAAGCAATATCTGTCCTAGGAGGCTGGAAAGAAAAAAGTGTTATACTTACAATAGACAGTCTTGGGTCTCAGGGCTTTCTCTTTCTTTAATTATGAAGATGCAAGTCATCCCAAAATAAAACAAGAAAAAGAAATTAATGTGCTGCACCATTTGAAGGAAAAACCTAGTACTTCCTGAGAAGCCTTCGCAGACCAATCACATTACAGGCCAAAGTTTCCATTGTCCTATAGGAAAAATTGGAGCCTTTATGATTTTCTGCAAAAGCTGGAAGTACTGACAAAAGTGTACTTACAGTTAACACAAGTTTTATTTCAAGAAAGCCTCATTATTTAAGTTTCAAGAGATGATTTTGGACTGAAACACAACACCTCAAAGATGCCAGGAAAACCTTGAGTTCTGCATGACTGCAGCTCCTAAGCTTGCAAAAGTTGTAGTTCCAACCAAAAAAAAAACTCTCCAGAACCCCCCACCATTTTGAGTAGATTTGGCTAAACCTTAAGGCTAGCCAAATCTCATGAAAGATCTTTCATGTAATGAAGAACAGGAAAAGTGGCTTTTATCAGCTGAATCCAGAACAAATCACTTTCTGCCAGAATCTAAGAAAAAGAGGAACTTAAATTTCCACTTCAGAACACAGCTAAAGCAATCCTGACTCATTTTGAGAACTTTTTGCAAATAAACACAAACTTGCCATTTACATGAAAGAAACAAAAAGCATGGTCATTCCACCCATAAATCATCTGCCTGTCCAGAGTGTCCATGGAGTTAAGTGCTATATTTTCAGAATTCAGTGGCATGGAAGAGATAATGCACATGGGTGTGACAATTCAATAGGAAGTAAGACTGACACAACAAAGTTAATTGTTTGAGAAGCCAAACAGCTGTCCTTCCATAACAGTTAGGGAGTTACTCAAGTCCTAATATCGCCACAGATAGTGGATGGTTTTGTATAAGCTCAGAAGGATTTTGTAAACTTAGAATATAGACACAACTTCCCCTGCTGTTATTCTGCTCCAAGTTTTTGTTACTTGCCATTCTGAAGATTTACCACAAACAGCTGCTAATACCAAGTTTTTCACACAAGCGCAGAAAACATTAGCAACTGGGAGCTGCCAATCAAAAGAATTTCCTTCTGACTATTTTCAGACAATCAGCTTTGATTGCACTTCGGTTACTGCTGATATCACAAATGGAGTTTCAGCGCTGAAGCTAAGGGGTAAATTTTACTGTGATCCCTTCTACTTCATCAGGAATTAAGATTCTCACACATTAGGTAAGCAACTTATTCTCTGTCCTGGGTCAGGTGTTGCAACAGCTGTTTTTGAGCTGAGACTATGAAAAGTTAGAGTAACTTTTAACAAACTGTCTAACTTTGAGAAGCCAAAACTCAAAAACTACTGTTTTTAAGGGTTCAAACCTCACACACACACTGTAATCTGAAAGAGGTACTGCACAGAGTAGTTTTCCACACAATTCAAGTTCACAGGTCATCTAACAGAAGAGTTTCATGAGCATAGTTAAGTATTACATAAATATAATTTAGTTGTTCTTAAACATATACACCCTTGAAATACATCTGTTAGATGTCAGCAGCCTGTACATGGAAATTCTATTTATTTTAATTCTTCAAGCAAATCAAGTTTTTGGATGGTTTGTTTGTTTTTCTCAAAAGAAAAGCTCCACAATTCAAGTCTCTCTGGATCATAAAGATAGGCTGCAGAACACAACAGCATGCTTTTTGAGACCAAATATAAATATAAATAATGCAATAGCAGGTAATTTTCCTCTAACTGAAACATAGCTATGTTAGCATTCCAAGTATCAACACAAAAATGCTCGACTGAAATGCTTTTCCAGCATGGTTGATTTTAATGCCATAAGAAAGGGCAGAAAAGTTGCCTGTACATCAGGTATTTTCAACCACAGGTTCTGATGCACAACAACCAAGGATAAGAGGCAGAAGAAATTAGAACACTGAAACGGTAAAGACAAAGACTAACAGCCCTCTTCACAGATCTGAACATTCCTTGTTTCTAATGAGCTTGCAGAGTCTTGAATGCAGATTTTTTTCCTTTTGGGACATGGTAGGCATTTCTACCTATCTAACTCCAGATATGAAGGAACCTTGAATCTTTGACAGAGCCATAAACAATCTTCATCTGTGCTCCAAACACAGTTCACAGAAGAGGCAACACTTTGGCTGGTGCTATACCTGTAAAGGGCCATTCAAAAGACATGGAAAAAGACATTCCACTCTAGGATTTCCTTTCTAGCAAGTTGAGCAATAAAGTAAATGCATATTTACAAAAGCAGAATTAAATATATCACATACCACCATATCTCAGGTATATGCACAGCAGGTATATTTTATTTAGGAACTGTTCCCTCAAAAGGCCTAGACTTTTACTCAGCTGTCAAAAAAACCATAAACAAAACAGCCAAACAAACTCACCTTTCATGCAGTGTATCCCCCATTACTCTCACAGGCTTGGTTCAATGAAAAGCATTAGCAAGCTTAGTTGTTTTCCAAATATTTTACCATAATGGATGGAAGTAACATTCAACAATTTTTCAAAGCATATCATAAATGACAATTCCAGTTTCCAGAGCCAAGAATTATACACACATGTATGAACGATATTTCGGCTAAGTCACTTTCTGCAACTCCCCATCGCATCAATACCTGTTCAGCAACAAAACCACAAAACTCACCATTGTGCAACTATACAGAGGTCACACAGCACTCAGTGCACAAAAAACACACAGCCTTGTACTGGGATCACCCAGCCCCTCAATCTTTTGTCCAGCAGCACTTTTTACATGGGTTTGGCCTCATGAACTACCAGCACTAGAAAAAAATTAGATGTGCATTCTTATTACTCAAGCTCCAGTTGAAGGACGTGAAAAGCATCACTGTCATGAACACTGAAGTCAGTGAGGAACACAAACTCCTAGCACAACAAAGAATCAACTCTCAGGGATAGAAACTAAACAAACTCTGAAGAGGTACACTATGTAGAATAAAATTATTAGCTAATATTTTGTAAATTAATTCAAAGATTTGTGAACTTCTATGTTTCAGTTCCATATACAACAGAATGCAAGTGCTAACAATTTTTATGAAATTAGGTAACTGATCATCTACTATTTGACTAATTAAAACACTGTGACTTGCTTGGAAAAAAATATCCACATAAACTTTGAAGTGCAAATGGAAAAGGCTTCAAATATACAATACCTTATCAGGTAACCAAACTAGGAAGAAAGGCATTGCATTCACTAATGATTTGCTGGATATATTTTTAAGTTACTTCTATTTGCAGTATGTCACTGAGCCTATTTCCACCCCTTGAAATGAATCACACATCAACCCAGAGGGTTACAGAGCACTGAGCCTGCAAATATACAAATGCAAATACAAATTAAACAACTCAGGACTCACTTTCTTGTGAGAATGTAGACTCAGATTAATGCACAAAATTATTTGCCTTCAACACGGAGGAATTTCATGAGGCTTTAGGTATAGGTTTATTCTCTTTTATTTGGGGAAGTAACAAAATATTCTGTGTAAAACTTCCATCCAAATTATAACAAATCTCAGCAGTCTGCCTAAACAACCAGGAAGAGGCAGGTACATTTACATTTTGCCCTTCAGCAGCAAATTATTTAGGCACTGTCAGCTCAGACAGTCAGACTGAGTCAGTACAGGAAAAACATCCTAACCATCTCTAGCTCATCAAAAGCAATCTCTCTGGAGTCCAAGGAGTACAGCACACTGGAATCACACTTTGTCAATAGAATAAAGAATTTGACTTAATTATTTCCTTATACATATGTCACTATTACATTTCTCCCGAGTGAGGCATTCGATACAATTTATCTAAGAAGTATTCCTAGATGTTTGCAAAGCGACCTCCTCTGAAGAAATTATGCAATCCATTTTAATCCTTAGGAGTCAATGGTATTGATACTCAGGAGAACAAACCGCTCAACATATAGAGATGAAACAAAAGTATGCAGAAATAACTTCTGTACCTATCCAAAGTCCAGCATAATCAAACTACCCAGGTGACCAAAAAAAAAAAAGATAGAATAGCCATGTACACAGAGACAACAGAAGTATTATGTGTCAGGTAGTTGAGCTTTACTATCACAGCTACTCAATAACACATTTTACTTTGAATAGCTATGGAAATGTGGGCCAATGAAATTAGAATCATTTCACACATGTAGCATGTGTTTACATTTGTTTCTTGATGTTTTCCCAGTGACTGTCCTTCTGATGGAGTGCTTTTTCTTTTTTTGTAACACTTTTTGGTGGAGGGTAAGCACCTCTAACAATGCCATTTTAAAAACAAATGGGTAACTGATAAGAAATAAGTAATCTGACTAAAATTATAAAAATGGTTGGGGGGCTGGCCAGGACAGTATTGTGATTTAGGTAAAGAACTACTATCTTCTCTCCATTTTGTTATGTTGTTGTCAGGACATCCTTTGGTATTAGTTTGAAGAGGAAGTCCTATAGCCAGGAACTAAGAGCTCTTCACTATCAACACCTAAGCTGTATCCAAAAGGAATGTAAGCTCAGGGCTTTTATGGTTACTTCAAACCTACTGACACAAAAACTTGAAATAACTCTACAATTTCTGATCTTTTCCCACCACAACATACAATAGATTTAATAATTTAAAGTAAGAAATTAGAGATAACTGAAAAGAATGATGAGGCAGTCTTGGAGCAGCCACATGACTTACAGGACTCGACACACCAGGACTAACGTTTATCATCTAACACACCCAGTTTTTCAACCTGCCCAATTCTTGTTCATTATCAGTTTGCAGGCCTTCCTTAACACAAGAAAGTTGGACAGATGTTGCCTAGAACACACATGGATTTCCACAAGGGAAACAGAAGGAAAACTACATGCAGATTTTCTGAGAAAATAACCACTACTTTTTCTACTTTAAAAGGGAAAACCAGCAATAATTGGATTGCTATGAAAGTTAGCTGAGGAAAAAAAAAAGAAACATCACAAAACCAAAGGAATTCCTTGCATCAGCAAGGACATTTGGCAGGACATGAA